GTGATTGATTGATTTATTGATTGACTTTACTGATCTCAAAGTAGAGAAATTTACTTGTTACATTAGCTCAAAAAATCAAGAAGAACAAGAAGATGCCAAAGGAAGAAAAGATGCATTGGGGTATACAAAGTATATACAGTGCGTTCACATCTATATATATGACAGCTGAAGTCTTTTTTTTTTTTTTAGCAGGATTATTGTACAGGGTTATTGCACAGGGTATTTATGTGAGTATTTATATATATAGTGTTTACAATGGGTATCAGATATAAAGTATGGTGTAACATTTATTTCTAAAACGACCGTGAGCAAATTAAACATACTTGCATGTATGTTAAACTACTTCTGCACTTCGAAAGGAGAAAATAGCTCCTCCCGCGCTCACTTTTGATCATGCTCTGGATCTCACAACGCGCACCATTTTCTATCCAGTGGCCACACAGGACGGCTGCGCTCTCGAAGGATTCTCAGCCCTTGGACTGATTTTCTCCTCGTGCGAAGGAAAATGTATTTTGACAGGTCGGGCGGAGACAAACCTCTTCTGTAAGCATCCTCCTAATTGGGCCTTGCAGACATGATCACACAGGAAGAAGGATCAGCAAGCCTAGAGGATTCTGGACTACCTCACTGGCCACCCACAGCATTTAAGGACACACGGCTGTGTCTCAAAAACATTGGTCAGCAGTACAGGGGTCCCACAGGGAACAGTGCTGGCACCTTTCCTCTTCGCCCTCTACACTGCAGACTTCTTGATCTACTCCCCACACTGACATCTTTGGAAGTTCTCTGACGATTCTGGCCGCCGCAGACGGGCTGACGTTAGCCCTGGCCGCCGCAGACGGGCTGACGTTAGCACTTGCGTTAAGGGCTGGTTATACTCCCCGCAGCAGTGTGTCGCAGTGAGCTTGACGCAGACATTTTTGATTTACACTCAATCTTTAGCGTGGTCTGCGCTATACTCTGTGGGTCTAGATACAACCGAGGCAGAGAGGAAGTGGAGGCAAGTTTGTCAGACAACGGTCCCAGTGTTCTCACGCACCTCGCTGTTCTAGCTGTTCCAACTTCATGAGTTGTTTTCCTCAACTGCGGTCATAAAAACAAAACAAGCCTGCCTCCTGTCTGTGGAACTGTCTGCACTCACCTACAATTTAGGAGAGGTGCAGCAGAGTGTCTGCGGAAGGGGGCGGGGATGTCTTTTTGTTCACTGCGACACCTACGCAGACGACCTAGTTTCGAAGTGTAAATCAGACGTTAGCCCTGACTACCGCAGAGGGGCTGACGTTAGCCTTGGCTCCCGTTACCCTCGGACCTCCGCTGGTCTCAACTTCGAAATTTTTTTTTTTAATTACACATTAAATCTGTAGATGGTTAAAAGTATAATGTTCTCATCTCAAATGATCTTAAAACGTACTTTTATTGAACAACAGCAACAGAAGAGAGAACATTTAACTTAATACTCTGAGCTCTGTGAGTTAAGAAGATGGCCGCTTCCTCCAGATTTTGAAAAAACTACATCGTCAACATCTGTGTCCTTGTGTGCCGCTAACTGAAACACACGGTCTGTCAGCGCGTCCAAACGAAAAATAATAAAGTCAATACTATAAAGTTAGCATTGTTTTCAAAAACAGTTACTAAATGTCTCAGCTCACTGACAACTTCATGGTAGGTAGCCATGTTTGTTGTGGCTGCGGCCGGCCGGTGGCCTGTAGATTGGAGCGATGCAGTAAAATGCTCACCAACCAATGGGCAGAAGGTCACTCTGAGACACAGCCCTCCTCATTTGCATAATGAGGCAAAAATACAGACAGAAATGTAAAAATGACAGGCACAAATAAATTACATTGAAGAAATATATAAGGTAAAAAATACAAAGGAAGAATAAAACAGACAAAAATATTATAACATGTACATAAATAAATAAGGAAATTATTACAAAAGTAAATAAATAAAGAAGCGAATTGAGAGATATATACATTTATGTCTCACTGTATAATTTAATTTCTACTTTCATTTATTTATTTATTGTATTTTTGGAGGCAATTAATTGTATGCTTATTTATTTATTTCTGTATTTATTTTTAAATATGGTAGAGCTGGTCCTCCATACTACTGAAGTTTAAGAGATCACATGCAATTTTTTTTCTTTTTCTTTTACCTTATCTTAGTTGGCCAGGCCTTTACCCGAACACTAACTGCTGAGATAAATTAACACAAACATTTCAGTGCAACGGTGTGTTTCAGAAACAGTCTGAATGTTTTTACAGCGGAAAAGAAACAGCAGATATGTGCTATGCTGAACATCTCTCTGTATGAACTGTAGACAGTAATGAATAGAAAGCTCTAATGTTTCACTATAGAACAACAAATCCAGTGTTTGATATTTCTTTAAAGGGGATGAAGGCCTTTAGGAGACGTTTATAACTCCTGTTCCTGAATGCTGCCCTCAGCCATGTGATCCAGACACATGTTCTGACATTTAGGCTGTATTTACTGTATGATTCCTATAATTAAGTTGTTAATCATTCAATTCAAAAGAATCCATCATCCATCCATCCATCCTTCCATCCATCATGGATGAGCAAGGTGCTCTCTGTCTGGGAAAGTTTTTTTTAATCATTATTATTTTTAAAATCACAATTCAACATCAATCATAATTTTGTATGTTTTTATTTATATCATTATCATTTTTAGAATTACTGTTGCAAATTTATCCTTTTCTTTATAGTGTGGAGTGTGTCTAAACTTTCAAGCACAACTGTATATATTTACTGTGTAAAATACAATCGATTTTAGGATTGCAAGTCCAAGGAGGTTTATAAGGGGAAGGAGAGGAGCAAGGTGTTAGGTCAGGAAAAGCCAGGTAAGTGTCGGTACAGCTCGTCCATGAAGACAAAAACACAGAAAGACAAAAAAACAAAGGTTTAAGATGAGATGTGTTGAAAATGTCTGTAGAAAACACTGAAATGTATCTTACCTGTCCAGACAGCTCCCTGGGTGCTCAGCACCCCCAAACTTCTGATCCTAGAATCACCCCTGGACAGTCCTAGGGCCTGAAGTGGCGGTTCAAGACCAAATGTCTCAGGGGGCCAGGAGGGGGCCAGTGTTTTTTTCATGGTGGCACAGAAAAGCGTGAAATAAAAAACAGGGCAAAGGATTTAAATATATCAAGATAGCTGCATGTAGTGACATTTCTATTCAATTGGGTTTAATTAAACTTCAATTTCTTATTAGGTTAATATACATTCAGAATTTGGGGATTTTAAATATTTTTGACTTAATTTAAGTTAAAATTATTGTTTTCTATAAAATCTGAATTAGAACTCAAGAAAAACTGATACATTCAGCTGTAAAAATTAAAGTAAAAAAAAAAAAACATTTCGCAGATGAAAACTAGGATGCTATCTCAATACCACTGAAGCTATCACCTTATTGTTTTTAAAGTCATAGGGAAGTCGAATTTAAATGTCAAATCATTCTGGCTTAAAGATGTATATAAATGTACTCTTTATCAGATCATATTGTCACAAAATTTTGAAAATTTCTATTCAAAAAAAATTGGCTTAAAATCTGTGGGTTTGTTTTTTCCCGTTATCTTATGCAGGCCAGTTAGTTATACGTCATCCTGAATGCCTATTTCGGCCAATCGTATATCAACGATCATCTGTCAATCAAATTTTTTTGGTCATAGCATCTTGATTCATATGTTGCAGCTAATATACACAACGGTTGAAATAAGAATAATTTCCTTTCCCATTAAACCGTCCCAAGGTTCCTATTGGAATTTCCCAGTGGGAACCTACTAGCACTAAGTTGCTATAAAGATGCTTCCCACAAACTGGCCACAACAAAACTTGCAAACCTTCCACCACAACAATCCCGCCCCCCTGATAATCGACCAATCACATTCACTTTATTCACTTATATAAAGTCGGGCACCAATCGGGAGAATTCGGAAATGCAACAGTTGGAACAGCCGCGACTATGACTTTAAATAATTAGTAAAAAAGAATTTGTAAAGAAAAAAAAAACTATGAAATACATCCAAAGGACCTATCAGTAACCATGTCTGTTCCAGCGCATATCATCATTAGAACTTCTTTGAGTATTATTTCTTCAGCACAGGGGCCTGGACATGATCTACAGGGGCCAATCGCGTAGCGACATAAGCAACATTATCTGGGTGGGCCCCATACGAGGTACAACACCCCATACAACATTATTTTGAGAATTTTTTTCCGATCTTTCAGCAGCTCTTCTTTCCTTTTTCTTTGCTGGAATAAGTAGGCCTACCTCTTTTCGGTATCCATCGTCGCTAACACATTGTACGTAACATTTATGGTTTTAATCTACGCTCTGGATTACCCATAATTCCAAGTTGTATTGTAAAAAATAAAATACTCAAACACATCATTCTTAAAAGATCTTTATTGTGGTTTGAAACATAATTATTAACATAGTAATCAAAAGTACCACTGTCTGCTTTGCTATTGGCGTCGTGTTTAAACGGCTCACCATCATGTTTAAATCTGCCATGTGTTGGGGTATAAATACGGTCTGGTGTGGTTATTTACTTCAGTATCAGGTGGGTTTAAGGGGGATATTTCGCACCATTATATCTGCAAAGAGACGTCTTAATCCACAATTGCACAGGGGGGCAACCAGGTGTCAGTGTTGGGGCCCCTAAGCAAACAGTAGTCTCTGCTTACCGATAGTTACGCCAATGACACGGGCACTGGCCCCCGTTGGCCCCTCTCTAGAATCGTCCATGTCACTTCAGTTAAGTGACAGTAAAGAATTTAGAAAAACTGTAAATAAATAAATAAATAAAAGTATTTTAAATGAAAACATCCAAAAAAAACAGACGTTTGTTTGTCAACAGCTGAGGATTATACTCAGGAAGAGCTTTTCTTTGGTAACGGCTGGAAACATCTCCTCCTCCTTCTCCTCCACCACCTCCTCCTCCTCCCTGCCCGGGTGAAGCAGCTGCGTCACCGGGGAAGGGCGGCGTCCTCAGGTACCACAAACACATCATCATCACCACTGTCTGCGCCCCAAACAGCCACAGCAGGCCTGAACCCAGCGGAGCAGAGGGAGCAACAGCAGCGGGAGGAGCAGCAGGGAGGGAGGCGCAGACAGCCGGAGCGTTTTGAAACCCCGAAAAAAGGGAAGTTGGATTGTGGTGTTACTAAAGCGCAGCGGGAAGCATGTTCAGCTGGGTCAACAAGGAGCAAGGTGGCCGCAACAAGGAAGGAGAGATGTACCAGACGGTGACGGAGGGACTGCAGACCCTGTACACCAAGAAGCTGCTGCCGCTGGAGGAGACCTACCTCTTCCATGACTTCCACTCCCCGGCCCTGGAGGGGGCAGACTTCCAGAGCAAGCCCATGGTGCTGCTGGTGGGGCAGTACTCCACCGGGAAGACCACCTTCATCAGGTAAGCTCACCTGATAAAAATGCTGAAATATTCCACCTTCGAATATATTGCAGGTTAAAAATGAACTCTATTATTGAATAATTTATGTCTCATTTGGTTTAAATAAAAAGCATTTCAGCTCTGAGATGTTTTTTTAATATGAACTTTAAGTTCTGATGTAGTGACCCATCCTCCAGAGATATGAAAATGTTATTAATTTGATGAAAAAAGGACAATAGTTCAGCTTCACCTGTTGCATCTGGAAATGCTGAGAAAGAAACAGAGTCTGCAGGCTGCGTCACATAGAAGGAGGTTAAATGTTTTATAGGATGTCGGCCTCCTTTAGATCTGAGCTCAGATGAATCCCAATCCAACCATGGCCTTGTTTTGTAAACAAACTAATAGGGGGAGGGGAGGGACCCACCATGTCAGGGGTCACAGGGGTCATCATGTCGGGTACAACCGAGGCACCGTGAGATCTAAGAAACAGACTCTGACCTTTTCAGACTAGAAGAGCAAGAAAGTGACAGAGTTTGAAGCTTCTGCTCTGCCAATAACATCATTGTTACTATGAGTATAGAGAAACACATCAACCTAAACCTTCATGCTGAAGGGGGAAATTATCAGCCTGCCGGTCGTGTTGTTGGAGGACGCTGGAGTACCCAGATGCAAACTGTTTATCTACTGGGAGAACACGCAGAAGGACCTGGTGTTCTGTCAGACCAGCATACCTATAGTCAATATGCATGCGCAAGATGTCAGATTAGCAATTATCCCTTTAGTTTTTTTTTACAAAAAATAGACTGTATAATACCTAACCGGCGTGTATCCTTTTAGTCATGTACAAAAAAAAAAAACTATTGAAGGTCAGATCACCTTATGCTTCTCAAAACACCAAAAAGTAAGTAATTAAATAGTTTTGGGTTGTTGTTGTCGTCTTCACAGCTGATTTTAGTGAGAAGGAAACATCTTCAGACCCTGATGGAACAGCTGGAGTCAGGCTCTGATCTCAGCTTTCAGAAATATCTGATAAGTTACTGATGAACCGCTGAGAAATTAGATGGCAGGCCTAAAACTTTCCATACGAAATGAGTTGGATGTCCATGAATTAAATCATGGCGGCGCCTCGCGGCAGCAGCCGGGCACAGCTCTCGACTATTCCCGCCCTGGATAAAGGGCCAGCAGATTCCGAAACAGCTTCTTCCCCACCGCCATCAGACAGCTGAATGCTGAATAAAGCAGAAAAAAAGACAGAAAACGCAGAATGTTGTAAAAAGCTTCAATCATATCTCAGTCTTATGTTTACATTTGATCACCATGTTTACATTTTATCACTGCTGCACTTCTTTAAGAAATCTCATTTAGTATACTGTTTTGTTACAAGTTTAAGTCTAAATAAAAGCTCAGGAAATCTGTCCCCATAGGAATCCTGTACAAACCTGTGATTATTTTTCCAGGTTTATTAAACTATTAAAATTAGTTTAGAAATATTCACTTTAAAACCAGCCAGATAAAACTCAGGATGTCGGTCAGTGACAGATGCTGTAAGCATAACCTGAAATATCTGGAATTCTGTTTTTTGGTTTTTAATTGAATAAAATCAGACTGTAATTCTATATAGCAACATGTCCGCCCCTGAGCTCAGGGGCGGATTTAGGAAATGTGGGGCCCTAGGCAAAGAGAGACAGGGGGCCCTCTGAAGTGAGAAGACAACACATAAACAGACCCATTCGACGGATAGAGAAATGTTAATAGAATAGACATCTATTATTAGTTCTAGGTTTTGTCCCTCTCTTCATGTCGTTTTCCTCTCTATCTTTTGTACTCAGCTGACTTTTCATGCTGTCTCAAAAGGAATGAAAGATTTTTTTTCCAAGCACTAAGCTCACTTGCCTGATTGCTCCTTCCTGTGTTTCCAAAAAGCAAAAGTAAATAACCCAGTCCTTCTTTTCACTGTAGACAAGCCATGATCTGCTTATCTGTTCTCCATTTTTCATTTGGATGAAATAATAGCTGCATGAATCATGACAGCAGACAAGATAGAGGAGAGCAGGAGGCGGGGTTACCAATCTACTTGCTCTGGAGAGCAGAGATCGCTGCTTTTAGATGTTGTCTCCAAAGTCTCTAGTAGCAGAAAAAAGTCGCTAGATTTGGTGCTAGGAGCTTTATTGAAATCAAAGAGCTAGAGGGGTCTGAAAAGTGGCTAAATATAGCGACTAAAGCGCTAAGTTGGCAACACTGCTCTTTGCATCGTTTATTTTCAAATGTTTGCTGCTGTCTGTTTGGACCTTTCTGAACATGTCCAGCAAATGGATGATCCAATATCGTGGACACTGAAGGGGGGGGCTGAGACATACTTAATATTATCAGCGTTCTGATGGCATTTTAGCCAAAGGATTTTTTATCAAAAACATAATTAATGTGCACAAAAAAGGAATAGTTGTATTAACCATACATGTAAGTAGAGTTTTATGGGGTGCCCCAGAAATCCGGGGCCCTAGGCACCTGCCTAGTATTGCCTAATGGAATACCCCACCCCCACCCCCCAACTTGAGCTGTTAGTGAAATCTGATTATAGAAGCAGATCCTTTATTATAATGACACAATCAGTGAACCATTTGCTCTTTTGACCAAAGCTATTATTTCCAGTGAAGGAGGAACCAGGCTATTTGTGTTTTTCCTCTCTGAGCGGCAGATCAACGGACAGATGAGTGTGTGTCTCTCACAAGTCTTCCAACAGCGGATGTTTTGTGCTCACTGCCTCTGGGAAACACTGCGTTTCTGCCCCAGCAGACCTGATCAGTCACTACAGGCCCGGTTTGCTGCTGCTGTGTCCAAGTGACATGTGGATGAAATCCGAATGTCATAAACTGCCCAGATTATTAATGAGCTGCAACATGTGGTGTGGATGACACATCTGTTCTGGTCTCTCATATCTGTGACGTCGGACTGAAAACTAATCTGTGTTTTTTTCTTATAAACCTATAAATGAATCTGCTGTAACGGATAAATCAGCGGAGGATCCTGGGTTTTGGTCAGACTCCATATAAATATGACTCCTGGGGCGACATGGTAATGGAAACGTTAGCGAAGGTCAGAGGTGAAAGGAAATGAAAGGATGAAGGTGGTAAAAGGAGAGCTGCAATAATAAACGGTCTTCCTCGGCTGCAGGGTTTATTGTCCCACTTCCTGTTCGCTGGAAACGTGTCAAAGCAAACAGAGAGAAACAGACACACCCACCTGCTTGCTGCTGTCATTTCCCTCTGGACTCGTCCAACATGCTGGTTTTTCGTGTTGATTGTCAGGCTGGATTTTAAATTTCGAATATTATCCTTGATGTTACTGTGACTCTCCTGACGGGTAGGAATAAAAACAGCGTGACAGCAACGTGATCTAAGCTTAATGTGTCATCATCAGCGTTGAGGAAGGAAACCTTACAGCCTTAGTCAATGCACAGATCCCAGTTTTTTTGTTGTTTTTTTTAGCTTTAACCCACTAATACAGATTTTTACGTTTACATTTTTATTTAAAATCCATAGTGTATAATAATAAAAAGGATTTGAGGTGCATCTCCAGGCCTTCCTGCTCTGAGCAGACTTCTCTTTCATGAATAAAGAGGGTTTGTGTAAAACGAATTATGCAGATTGGTAAAAAGTGTACAACCTGTCTAGTTTCTGTGCTTCCTGCTGAGTCTGATACCCAGGTATGGGCGTAGGTTAGCATAGGAACCAAAGGGACATGTCCCTACCAACATTTTGGACCAACCTACTTGTCCCTACCAGTAATTCAATGTGAATAACATGTTTAGAATTTAAAATGCAGCGTCGTTGCAGCAGTTGCTTCTTTTCTTTGCCTGGTAGCTGCTGCTCCTCCATTCGACTGCCTGCCCAGGCTTTCCTCTCCCTTTCACTTACCAATTTCACTTCAGTTTATTTCTATAGCTCCAATTCACATCACATGTCATCTCAGGTCACTTTACAGTTCACCAGATCACCCAGTCACATTGATTCAAGGTTTTCTATCTTAGGAAAACCAGCTGATTGCATCGACTCATTGACTCTCCAGCAATCCCTCACACTAAGCATGCTTGTAGCGAGAGTGGAGAGGAAAAACTCCCTTTAGACAAGAAGAAACCTCCAGCAGAACCAGGCTCAGTGTGAGCGGCCATCTGCTGAGACCGACTGGGGTTCAAGGAGACAGGAGCTCATTGTGTTTCTTGAAGCTCCAGAAATCCAGTTTGCTGTAAACTAATAAAGTACAAATCATGTCTACATTTATCTCTAAAACACTGGTGCTCCGTCAAGCTTCACTAATGATCAGTTTTCTAGTCTCTATGCTCTAAAAAAGAAGATAATCAGTTTTTATTATTCAATAATGAGGTATTTGCAGCTTTTATTTTTTTAAATAAAGAAAGATCCTCCTTAGTTAGAGGAAACATGCAGCTGCTGTTGAGTTTCTTCATCAATGGCCTCCAACTAAAGATAATCAGAGCATCTTGTCACCTTTGTTCTAATGTTTATAAGCTGCTGGTGTCAATTATCAACACATCCTCTGACGGTCTCTGGATGACAGCAGACACCTGTTGAGACGGACTGTGTGGAAGTTTTCCAGTCAGGGCTGAGTTAACAGGGAGAGAAAGGCATGCTGTGACCTGTAGCCCAGGTGTGTGGCTCCATGGTTCTGCAGCTGGGAACAGCAGCCAGTGTTGCTCAGGTCCAGATTAAAGCAGAAACACATCTGTAATGTCTGTGTAATCACATGTTGACATGAACCCGTAATGTTTGGAGCATTGTAAGTTCACCTTCTTGTTTCTTAAGCGTTTAGATGAAGCCTCTGTGCTTTATTAGGATCTATTCAACAAGGGGAAACTAATACTGTCTTTGGAAGAAAAGACTGCTGAGGCAACACCCTGCTGTGAGGAATGATTGCTGAAACATTTTGCCAGAAAAGTGCAGAGTCAACATTTCTGCCCCCCCCCCCCCCTTTTCTAAACACATAAAACATAGTGTCATCATATGAAA